GGAACTGATAGAGGGGAGAGAAAAGGATAAGCAGAATCTACATAGTATCCATTGTGTGCCAGGCACTGTTCCGACCACGTTTTACAAATATTGTCTCATTTGATCTTCAGCAGTAGCGCTGGGAGGTAGGTGCTGTTATTATCCCCATTTTACAGCTTGGGGAAATTGAGGCACTCAGAACTTAAGACACTTACCCAGGGTCACCCAGCTAGTAAGTGTCTGAAGCCAAATTTGAACTCAGGTGTTGCTGACCCCATGCCCAGTACTCTATCCACTGTATCACCAGCTTATAGTCTAGTAAGGGTAAAAGGCACAATTCATTGTAATTCAAAGCAGGACATGATACAAAACAATTCATGCTTGATGCATTAAAAGATTCAAGCAAAGTACTATGTGAGATCTCAGGGGAAGATGTGCTAATCGACTTAGCCTATCAGTCGTTTATGAAGCTTTATTTATAAGGTGGCGTTTGAATTGGGAGTCCCTGAAGATGGTAGCATGATTCGGAGTTTAAGGACCTGAGGATTCCTTGCTTTGGCGTTTACTCCATGTTCTGGCCTTCGGCAGGTTGCCTTACTTCTTGGTGCCTCAGTTACCTTCTCTGTAAAATGAGGGAATTGGGCCAGATGGCCATTAAAGATCACTTCTAGATTCAAATCTATCATCCTGTCACATGACATAGAAGATTAATCTAGCAGGAGAATGAACGACGGATTGGAGGGGAAAGGGATTGGAGGCAGGGAGGGGCGGGTAGGGGGCTGTTGAGTGGTTAAAATGGTTTGTACTAATGAGGAAGAGACATATATGTAAGAGATATTGGGGAGCTATAATTGACAGGATTTAGTATCCAATTAAATATGAAAGGTGAGGCAGAGGGAAAAGTGAAAGATTATTAATACTACTTTAAAGGGAAGAACAGATTTCTGGGGAAAGAATCCAATTTGAGAATGTTGCAGGGTTAGAAGGATTTTCAGGTGAAGGTGTATAAGCAGAGGAGATGTGGGTCTGGAGCTCAGAAGACAGGTCATTGCAGGAGTTTGGGGGTCATGCGTAAAGTGATATTCGAAGCACTGGGAGTGAATGATAATGAGCAGCTGTCCAGTTTTAGTGGTAAAGCTGGTCAAGGTGTGGACTGTTCCTCCTGCTTCCACCATCTCCGTAGTCCCTGTTTAATTCCCTGTTGCTGCCATGCTAGTGGGAAGATGTAGTGGCTGCTCAGTATTGTGTGAAGACAGAACAGTACAAAACACCAGCCTTGCTTTCTCACATGGAGGAGTATCTGCCTTTTCGCTGCTAAGGTAGTGACTTACACAGATAGCCTTGATGCAGCGTGGTGAAGTTCTTAAACCTGGTCTGCTAGCATTCTGGGGGGAGGGTTGTTCCAGTGGGGACTGGGGTGGGGTGGGTGGGGTGGGTAGTGGTCATGGCTCTGAGAAGTTTGAGTGTGTCCTTGAAGTTGGCTGCCTCTGAGGATCCTGCTAATTAAATAGCTGTACACCAAGCATACAGCTTGTAGGTGGAGAGAGAGGAAGTGACAGATTTGAGCAAAGCCGTCTCTAGGGGTTTATCTTAAAGGGGGATTTTCGTTCAGCCTTAGATGGCCTTCAAGGTCCTTTCCAAATCTGAGATTTCTCTGATTCTGATCTACGCAAAAATGTGACTCACACCCTTTAGAGTTATGACAGAATTTTTCAATCATGTTGAATCTGGATTTTTTTAAAGCTGTATCTGTGCCATAAGTAAAGAGGCTGGGCCTCTGATTTCATTGGTTTTGGGAACTCCCAGGCAAGGAAACCCCTCCTAATGCAGATCTTCACCTCCTCTGCAATTTATAATCTTGGAGAGTTGAGAGGTTGAATGATTTGTTTGGGATCACAATGCTATGAGCAGTGACTTTTTTTTTCTGGCTAGTCTGAGTCTAGGTAACTTATTTGATCATTTCATAGTGTTTAAGAATCCAGGGTCATAATTACAATCCCTATAAGGGCTGATTGTCTTAGCTCTGTGCCTGGATACAGACTGTCCCAATTCTGGTTTGGTGCATATGTGCTATAGGTAACCAGGAGCACTGGGTGAGGGAGGGTGTAAATAAATTACATGTTTAAGGTAAGCCATGGGGCAGGCCAAGGACAGTGGATGCCTGGAAAGGTAGGAGGGTACATGAAGAGGAGGCTGGTGAATCCCAGAGTTTCTCAATTTCATCTACTTAAAAATTTAGCCCTGGTATCAGGTGCTAGATGTAAGAAAGTCTATTTCATTCATCTCTGTTGATTAAATATTATAATAATCTGATGCCTTCTGCTGTAACTTTTATATTTAAGCAATAAAAATCCTTTATGCTTGGCTTTTACTTTTTTACAACAAAATGAGTGATGTTTTGGCTGGGGTTTTATATAATCACATAACACTAGTAAATCACATTTACTCAGTCCTTTATAGCATCTCTTTGCTTGAACTTTGGGGTTACTTGCTTTAATACTGTTTTACCAGAGCATTTAATCCCCTGTTAACATAATGAGGTGGTTGTGAGAAAGGGCACTCCCAGCTGAGGTTGGAGTGGTGTAACTGGTTAAACTCCCTTTGTCAGTCTCTGCTTTCATGTCCTCAGAGAGGAGTAGTTTTTTCTCTTAGAAAAATAGTTTAAGAGCTCCGAATGAGAGGGATTAAACTATTTCCTTTGCCATGGCATTGGAAAATTGGAATAAAATCACATTTCCCAGGATGTTTTTCCTTTTTGTCTTCTTTGGGGGGATTGCTGATTGGTTTGTCCTGTGCTCCAAGGAAAGTGGAATGCTACCTGCCCCTGCTTGTGCCCAGTAAGAGAGGGCTGTGCCAGAGCCGAGTCTGAGAGGAGGCAGCTTCGATGCTGCCAAGGTCCTGGGACTCTGCTGGAACGCACCTGGGCTGCCAAGCAGGAATAGTAGAACCACAAAGCAGGTGGAGGTGGGAGGCAGTAGGGTGTGTCTGCTTGTTCTTTTTTTTCCAATCCTCTGAGACTCTAAGGCTGGTTATCAGCTGGGGAAAAGAATTGGACCCAAGCGAGCCAACATCCTGGTACAGCACTTATCCAGGAAGTCCTGTAACCACGATGATGTTTGGAGAGTTTTGCCCGATTGGATGTTTCTTTGTCTCAAGCCTGAGAATGGGGGTAGGGAAATACCTTGGCAAAAAATAAGACCAGAAAGCTCTTTGATTTAGCCCCAGTATTGGAGAAAAGCCTCTTTTCATCGCCGGTCCAACAGTCAGTGCCCTCTCTTTTGGTGAGGCCTGTCGGATCCTGTATCAAAGGGAGAGATGTTAGTGGTCTGTGGAGTTTAAAGATACGCATTGGGAAAGCCTGAAGATAGCCAAGCGGCCTTTCGACATCTACCAATTCTCAGTCCTGCTGCGGGCAGCAGGAGCCGGGCAGAACAAGGCTGACATCACGGTTTGCAGACCAGATTGCAAGCATCTGCTGATGAGCTTGGGACCAGCACTTGGATGAATGTCTGGCTTGTTTTCCTAAGACTGTTGCAACTCCATGGAAGGCTGAGGTGTGGGGGGTGGGAGTGGGAGGGCAGATTCAAGTTAACTTGCAATGTACTGATGACCAAAGGAGAATGTGAGGCGTGGTTATGTGGAGGGAGGGAAAGCAGATGCTGCTTGTGACTGGTACATGTGTCTTTTTCCTGTTGGCTGTTGAAGCCCAAATTATGGTAGTGTTTGTTTGTTTTTTTTTAAATAAAGACAAGGTAAGGGGCAGCTAGGTGGCACAGTGGATAGAGCACTGGCCTTGGAGTCAGGAGGACCTGAGTTCAAATCCAGCCTCAGACACTTGACACTTACTAGCCGTGGGACCCTGGGCAAGTCACTTAACTCCATTGCCTAGCAAAAAAAAAAAAACCCAAAACAAAAAACAAACAAAAATAACAAAAATTTAAAAAGAGAAGGTAAATGCTGTGAAAACAACATTTTAAATGAAATACAACTTCTCCATTGCTCTGTGAGGCCTTGTGCTAGTCCCTGGTACATAGTGAGGACTTCATTTTTTCATTCATTCATTCATTCATTTCATGGCACTGTCCCATATTTTATCTTCTTTAATATTTCATAAAGATTCAGTGTTCTCTTTCTGCTACTCTCCTCTGTTCTGGAAATTCTTTCTGCCCCCGGGACAAGATTTTTCAAATAAGTCTAATCCTCTTAGTCTGTTTCTGGAGTTGGGCTTTATATCTGTGAGACTGGAAGCTCCCTGTAGGTAGGCATAAACATTGTGTCTTCTTTAACTTTGTGTCTCTCCCAGATCCTAGTAGAATGCTTTACCTACAGTGGGTATACGACAGATGTTTGTTTGAAGTTTTTTAGTTTTTCTAAATATTTTGCTTCTCTGATGCATTAGAGTGAGAGGCCCAAGACTCTGGATGCTTTGGGAAACCCTTTGGTAGATCCTCTGACTCCCATGCGTTGCTTTCTGGTGCTTGCTCACCATGTGTTTTGTGATTGATGACCTCCCTTTCCAGTCTTACCACCTTTCTTTTTTGCTTTCCCCTCTGGGCTTCCTGCCTCTTCTTCTCATGGGAGATCCCCAGCAGTTCACATTCCTGTTAAAATTGTCCATTTCCCCCCTGTAGCTGTCCTCTATACCCTTCCATGTCCCATACTTGAAGTGATTTCTCCTTCTCTTTGAACTCTGATAACGTTGACTCCACCTTATTGCCAGCATCCCACAGGGGGCCAAATAGATAATCTAGGCCGGTCTCTTCATCATACACATAAGGAAACTGAGGCCAGAGGACTCTTTTCTACTGTGCCCCCTACACCTCTCCTTATCTGCCCATCCTTTTCTGTTCTTTCTCATATTATGGTAACTTGGCTGCAAGTCTTCTCCCTACCAGATTATAAATTCTTTGAGGACAGGAGCTGCCAAACTGTTTCTTATTGATCTTTGTATTGCTTGTGTAAAGTAGGTATTCGGTAAATATTTATGGAATGAATGCCCCAGATAGGCAGGTTTGGTGATGGTGGTGGTGGTGGTGGTGGTGAGCCTCCAGTCCAGGTTTATATAGTTTATTATTAGAGCCACAAAATTTGGTGCCCAACAGTCTATGATTCTTCAGCATCAGGACAAAGAAATCCCCCCCAGTCATATGTATTGATTATGACTCCCAAGTTTTCCCTTCCACCCTTTGTCTAAGTCCCTCTTCGGTGTTCATAGACAACCACTAGTATGGAATTCACATTTCCTTCTAGATCATTGGTTCCATGTTTCCCCGACATCAGACAGGGATAAGATTAGGGATTGGACTTGTGATTTCATTGGTACAGGGGCATTTTAGGTGTGGAAACTCCCTCTGCCAATGCAGGTTGTCACCTTTTCTGCAATTTCTAGCCTGAGGAAAGTTGTTTAGTGTACAAGTGTCAAATGTGGGAGGGCCTGAGAGGCTCCGAAGTGTATCCAAACTAGATTAAAGTGCAATTGGGAGATATTTTAACAAAATAAAATAAAAATACAGTAACACATAACAAATGTTAATATGTGGTTTTCTAAGTCAGTATGTGCCTGCAGGCATCCTTAAACACAGGTTGCTGGCCCCACTTTTTATTTGAGTTTGACTAAAGTTAAAAAGCCAGCATGCCATGGGGTAGGACTTGAACCCAGGTCTTTGCTAGCTCTATCCACTACACCAAGCTGCTTCTCATCCAAGGATAGAAAAGGAGATTTCTCTGTGAAAGGCTGGGTTCTCTTCTTTCTTGGCCTGGAGTGGGCAGCCGTGTAGTAGATAAAGCATGGGGCTTAAGAGTTCCAAAGCCCTGGGTTTGAATCTCATTTCAGGCACTCAGTAGCTGTGTGATTCTGAGCAGGTCACTAAATTTCTCTCAGCCTCAGCTTCCCCATCTGTAAAAATCAGAATAATGACAGTATATTGCGTTTATAGGGTTGTTTTAAATGGGATTAAATGGGATTGTTAAATGGGATTATGTAGGTAAAGTGATGGGCAAACCTTAAAAAGCTACATGTGAGCTGTTACTATTCAGTAGCAGTTGCATCCATATTTTAATATTGATACATCTGCCTTTCCTTGGGGAAATTGACCCTAAAGCCACAGTTACTTTTTTGAGCAGAGAGAACTATATCCTTAAGGATTTGGTATTACTTAGGAAATTTTTTTCTCAACAACTGGAGCAAAACAATGGCCTGTTTCCTTAAGATGGTACAGGAGAATTGTATTTTCATTTAGAACAGCTGCCTGTGACCTTTTCCCTCGCCCTCACAGCAACAAGCTTTTGTATCTCTCTGATCCAGTTATGCCTTATTTTGGGGCACAGCAAAATGCTTTATATCTGGGAGTATCTTGGTGTTTCCATTTACTTTTAAAAGTTATTTTAAAATAAGCACAATAAGTCTGAACAAAGAAATCAACAAGGGGATTTTAGTCAAAGAAGAGTTGGAACAGTAGAAATTTGTCTCACAGACTTGAGGTTCTGTGTCTGTCTTTATGACCTGATGTTGGAGAAAGGAAAGTGTAGATTGTTGGACGGGGCCTCTGAAGCCATCTGGCCTAACCTTCCTCCTTTCTCACATCAGGAAACTCAGGTTAAGTGGCTTCACAGTCCAGAAGTGAATTTAAATCTGGGTGGATACAGCAGGTCGTTTTAACTTCTAACTTTGCTTGCAAACCTATAGCAATCTTGGTGAATAATAATTTAACTTCCAAATGCATCTCTTCTTTTCAATTCAATAAATATATATAGATTTTTTTAGGACAAGTACTTTACTAGGTGCTGCGTAATAAAATGATTCCTTTTCTTCAAGGAATTTAGGTTCTCCCAGTGGACACAGATTGTACACAGATAAATAAATACAGTATAAGGAAATTTCGGGAGGGAGAGTGCACTAAAACTTAGGGTAGTTGGTAGAATCGGAGCTGAATAGTGAAAAAAACTAGGAATTCTAGGAAGGGACAGTGAGAAAGAAATGTATCTCAGGTATGGGAGGCAGTCTGTTCAAAGATACATAGATGGAAGAGAGAATGTGGAGTTTAGAAAACAGCTAGTTAGCCAATTTGTCTGGAAGATAAAGTGCTAGAAGGTAAAGTAACGTGAAATAAGACAAGAAAGGCAAGTTGTGGAGGCCCTCATATGCCAGGCTGAGGAATTTGTGTTTTGTCCAAGAAGCAATAGAAAGCCCCTGAAGATTTTTGAGTAGGAAAGTGATGTGGAAAGAGCTGTGTTCTTAGGAATATTAATAGGAGTTAGATGAGGATGGATTGGAGAGAAGAGAGACTGGAAGCAGAGAGACCAGGTAGGAAGTTATTGTAATTATGCTTGTTGGGGGAAGAGGAGAGGGACAGACCTCAGAGATGTTGTGAAGGTAAGAAAAATAGACTAAGCAACTGATTGGATGGCTTGGGGGGGTAATGAAGGAAAGGGAAGAAGAGACCAGAATGACTCTTGTGTGGCTAGAAAGATGGCGGTTTCCTCAACAGAAAATGGGAAGTCAGGAGTGATGGGGTGCTTGGGTGCTTGTGCTTGTACCTGGACCCCAATTTCTCCCTAGCCTTAGAAACACTATCCCTGGCAGTTTCTCCCCAACCCAAGGACACTGTGCTTAGCAATTACTCAGGAGTAGGTCCCAGCAAGACCCTTATCTCTCTCCCTGGTGCAGTAATAAACAGCACCTGAAGGAATTATTAGTTGGCTTTGCACTGGGTCATAAAGATATTCTACCCACTGGACTATCTATATTACCACCCTGTCTTATTATCTACATCCTGGACTCCTCATTATCTGTATTCTAGACCTAAGATATGTGTATACTACCTACATCTGTCCCATCAAACGAGACATTGACTGGTGGCCCACTGGACAACTCTCAATTACCCCTGACTTCTAGTTAACTTAGTGATGTAGCAGGCATAAAACCACACCTCCATGTGGCCCCACCTTTTGGGCTTTTCCTAGTGAACTCTGGGTAAAACCCCTGCGAAGTAGATGCAAGAAGTATGTGTTCCTTTAAGAACTGACCAGTCCTTAACCACTCTCTAATCCCACCCTGAATCACCTAGTTAACATATTTGGCGCATGTTTTATTATATTTTATCCTATATAAATTCTAACTGTACCCCTCTAAGGTCACAGGGTTCCTTAAGAATTTTTGCACGCTGAAAAGCATGACAATAAACTTTGTACCAACTTGACTTAAATAATGCTTGAGCCTGTGAATTCATTCCAGATGACCCCGTCCTGTGCTCCAGTCTTTGAGGGATCCCAACCTCTCAGACCTCAACAGGAGGAGGGATGAATGATTGGGGGTGGGGGTGATGATAATGAGTTCTTTTGAGGTTAAGTTTGAGATGCCAATGAGATATCCAGGTGCAGAAGTCTGTTAAGTCGGTTGTTGATGTAGGACTGGAAATGGGAGAAAGTTTAGGATTGTCTATATGGAATTAAAAGTCATCTGCAAAAAGGTGATAATTATACCTATGGGAGCTGATGAGATCACTGAGAGAGAGTGAAGAGGGTGTGTGTGGCCTTTGCAATGGTAGCATTTATGATGCTTCTTAACTGGTAAATCTACAGGGAGGGGGAAAAAAACCCTTACAATTTACAAAAGAGGTCTGGGAGTAAGATTGGCATTCGAATGGGATTTTATTAGCAGCCTCCAAATTTACTGTTTAAATGTAATTATTCTGGCTGCTTTTCAACCAGTTATACCAGAATGTGTAGGGATCAAGTTTCTCCTTAAGGGTGGGTCATTCATGCAAATTTTAAGATAGAAACTTTTAAATTATATTCTCCTTTCCTGTGTTAGAAAATTACAACTCAACTTTTCATCCCTTCTGAAATACAAATAATTTGATCCTGTCTTTTCCCCAAATCTTTTCAATTCACCTACCCAATTCAGTCCACAGAATGAAATTATGCCAGTTGAATACTGACCAGTTATGTGATATATGGGGGTAGGGATGGGTCACCTGGCTACCACTGTTGGAACAGTCAACAAATTGATAAATTATAGAATCATAAAATAGTTAGTTCCCCTCCCTCCAAGACAAATTGCTTATTGGTTTAGTTAAAAGGTTGTATTTTGATCAGTCTATTCTTCCATTCATTCAGAGAGCATTCATTAAGTACCTACTGTATGCCAGACACTGCTAAACAAAGAGGAAAATGAAATCCAGCCTGGGCCCTGTTCTCAAAGAGCTGTGGGGGAAGAGGGAGAGGGGACATATATATACTGAAAAATAAATACTAACTATTTAGCTCCTATACAAAGTAATTGGGATAGGATGGGGAGACGCATCAGCTGAGAGGATCTAAATGAAACGGAATTTCACCCATGTCGTATTTGACCGTATGGGACTGAAGACAGTCAGTACCTTGACAGATGATTACTTAAGAATTGCTGTGGGAGGAGACAGCTAGGTGGCGCAGTGGATAGAGCACCGACCCTGGAGTCAGGAGGACCTGAGTTCAAATGCTGACCTCAGACACTTACTAGCTGTGTGACTCTGGGCAAGTCACTTAACCCCTGTTGCCTCACCAAAAAAAAAAAATTGCTGTGGGAATAAGAAGTAGAGCTAATGTGGGAAGAGGAAGCACGCAGCATCAAAAACTCACTTGAGATTGAATAAGGGTCAGTATTTTCTATTGGTATCCAGCCACTCACGAGCAGGAATGAAGAAGGTAGGAGTAAGTCAGGGTTGGGAACATTTTTGGACATGACTAGTGTAGGAATTTGTTTTGCTTGACTGCATATTCATTAGAAGGGGTTTTTTAATCTTTTTCTGGGGGCAGGGGAAGGGGGAATAAATTTTTGTTAGTTAAAAAAAAAGAGGTGAGAACAGTAGGAAATGGGACAAAGGCCAGTATACAGTTGAACTGGTTAACTGATTTTGAGGAAGGAAAGTGAGGCTAGAGCAGGGGTGTAGCCTCTGGAAGCTGGGGCAGTGGAGTGACCAGGGGAGGTGAGGACAGAGATCAGGCTTATGAGAGGTGAGAGGAGAGCTGGAAAGACTGGAGATTGTGATCAGAGCAATTTTAGATTTATGGATTGTGGAGGTGGAACACCTGTGGGTGATAGGAGATCAAGGGTATGTATGTGTGGGTGTACACACACACACACACACACACATATGTGTGTGTGTGTGTATATATATATGTATATATATGCATACACACATATGTATGTCAAGGAAATATAAATGTATATATAAATATAAATGTATGCATATAAATGTATGTATAAATAAATATATGCATATATAAATATAAGTACATATACATACATCTCATGTGTGTATAAACACACACCTCACATGTGTATATATACATAGGCATATACATGCACATACATGTATACATACATGTGTGCTGTGTATATTTATATCTGAAATGGAGTAAAGGCACAGATGAAATGGGAAGTGAGGATAATTGAGGGACATTGAGAGAGTAAGTTGAAGTCCTGCTCTATAAGGACAGGGGCTTGGAATGAAGAGGAACGTTATGAGCCAGATACTGAGGTCCTTGAGGAAGAAGAGTGGCCCTTCATCTTTTGTTTTGGGCTCAGTGTATGAGGTGACCCACGAAATGGGATCTTGAAAAGCTAGAGCTAGGGAATTCTGTAAATGGTGGGCCCTTAGTACAGCTGATTCAGGTGAATGAACATTGCCTCCCCTAACCCCCTCCAATAGGCTTATTTGTTAAAAGCTATTGATAAATTGAATCTTCGAAAATCAAACCATTTTAAAGATATGAACTCACTGGAACAAACCTTGTTGTAAAAGGCAGAATCTTTTTGTCATGTAAATCACTCATTTATTAAATTGGATTTTGTTGTATTTTATTAATATAGGGTATGTTATGTTAAGTTTTCTTGGCTAAATCATTTAAGCAATATCGGTTTAGTGGATTTATTCCTTTAAGGCCTAGTTTCTGTGCCTATCTTAAGTAAGACCCTGGGATCAATAAGATCATAGATGTAGAGTTGGAAAAGAGGCAATATAGGCTAGGGAATGTGAGTGGTAAAATTTGAATCCAGGCCCTCTTCCTCCATGGCTACTCCTCATTCCACTGAACCACCCTGCTTCCCTGATTTTTTAGATGACACCAGTTAAATGCATCAATATCTTTCACATTATTAGAACTGAGTAAATACAGGTTAATATCATCTGTTGTTGACTTTTTTGTCTTCTAACGAAGAATATGAGGAAGGGGACTTGTGGTACATTTAAACAAAAGTAATTTTGGAAGCTTGAAGATTACCTTTGCATCTGTTGGCTTAGAAGGTCTGTGTTGTTTGTATGGGGCTGAGGTGGTTGCCTTCATGTAACAGAATTTTAGAATTTTAAAGTTTTAAGTTTAAATTAAATTCAAAATTTAATTGAAATTTCAACTTTTTAAAAATGGATGCTTTTGGTAATGAATTGCATGAGGCCAAATCCTCCCGTTTTCCTCACTTTGCCCAATCTGTTCTCCTAGCCCTGGTAAATAACTCATCAGGCATTTTGGAAGACCTTCCAGAGGAGTCATCGCAGTCTCCCGGTGCACCCCCCACCACATCCCCCAGCAGCAGTGGCAGCCCAAGGCATGAGCTCTGCTACCTGAGATTTGCATAAACGTTGAAGAGAGAGTTGGGAAGCCCCCTCCCTGGCTAATCTTGGCTCACCCAGCCACCCTCCTCCAGGCTCAGAATGTCTTCCAAGCGAGCTGGGGATGTAAGCACAAACAGATGTCACACTTCAGACACGGGGGGGAGCAGGCTATCGGGAAAGTCATGTGAGAGCCCAACAGAGGGGCTATTGAAGAGGATGCAGAGCTGCAGTTTACTCTGCCAATTTAAAATGATTACATGTTAATGCAACAAGGGGAACACAGTGAAGGCAGCTCAGATTAAACCTGATGAGAGTGCAGCCTTAATTACCTATGGCAGAAATCCCTGAAACAAAGGGAGGCTTTTAAGGACTTGATGTGTGGCTGGCACGATGTTGCCGAGCCCTGGGAAGAAAAAAAGCAACTTGGTAAACGTCTACAGAAAATTGTAAGGAAGATTCCATCAAACCTGGCTGGCTCTCTCTTATGCCTAAGGGGGCTTTCTCCTGAAGTTCAAGAGTTGGTTAAAATCAAGGACAGCTTATTCTGTCATTTGCAGTATCTGTCCATACACGGAGCAGATAAATTGGAGTAAATACAGTAACCTTGCCTGAGCAACATTATAATTCATAGGGAAGGAATACCAAAGAATGTTCGTTCTGGTCTCTAAAGACTTCTTTCTAGGGGACACTTTTGTAATGGATGTTGAGCTGAGGGGACGTGTGCCATGACCACGTGAATTGAAAGCATTTGGGGGAAAGGGCAGGATCATATTATATTCTTATATAACCAAAGCAACTCGTCTTTATTTTGCTGTTATTTGAATGTAAGTGTTGCTTGCGTCCCTTTCTTCCCTTTTATTTTTAATCCTTCTCAATCTCTGGTTGCCTCTTTTGTCCAGAAAGTCAAGTTCAGTCTGTCATGGAAGCTGCTAAGCTCTTGATGAAGTTATGGAAACTGCTACTTTTATTGATGCACTATCCTGAATTTTCTTGGGACTCTCCCATTTCTCTAAGCTTTTAAGCTTTCTACAGTGATCCCAGTTGTAGAAAACCAGCTCCTTTTTCACTTTGCTCAGTCCCATCTTGGGGCACCAGTGAGTCAGCCAACCTTTATTAATAAACATTTCTCCACATTATGCTAGGGAATATAAAGAAGTATAAAATGTAGTCACTACCTTTAGGGAACTTGTCATCTAGTTTAGGAGACCAAACTAACAAATGTGGAGAAAAACCATAAATATAACAGTATAGACAGTTTAGAATTTAACTGACAAATTATGTTTATTGGTACCATAGGAGTTCAGATGAGGGGGGGATTAATAGAAGTTAGATTAGTCAGAAAGACTTAGGGAAGAAAGGAAACTAAGATGGATGCTGATGGTTGGGTAGAAGGGAGCACATGGCAGGGAAAGGAAACAACAGCAGAAGTGTGGATGGGAGAGGAAATATTTCAGAAGTATTTAGATGACAGTGAGAAGAGCGGCTTGATGAGAGTAGTAGGCGTCTGGTGGGATGGAATTGGGATGGTTTGAAAGGTAGAGTAGGGTAACACACTGAATCTATTAAGATGAAATTTAATAGAGACAAATGTAAAATCTTACCTTTAGGTTCAAAAACAACACCTTCCCAAGGATAAGATGGGGGTTTTAGTGAACTGTAAGCTCAATATGAGTCAGCCAAAAAGCTCATGTATTCTTGGACTGCATTTACAAGAGGCACGGCTTCCAAGAATGAGGGTGTGATGGTTTCTCCAGTTCATGTTATATGAGAATCAGGAGCTGGGAATATTTAGTCTAGAGAAGAGAAGTCAGTTTTAGGCTTGTTATCAGGAGAGTTAACAATTGGAGCTATCCACAAAAAGAGGGGGACTGCTTTGGATAGGAGTGTCTTCCCCCTCACTGAATGTCTGTATGCTGAGGCTCCAAGACCACTTCTTGACTGTCTTCTATGGGAATTCTTTTTGGGGTCCAGCTTGGAATGAGTGACTTTTTAAGTTTCTTTTAACTTAAATTCTGTGATTGGGTGCAGTCAGCACCCCAGTAGAGGAGTTTGGATTAGATACAGTCAGAAGTGGAAGGTAAGGAATGGTATGATGAAAGATGTTTTTATGGAAGATTAGTAGTAGAAGAGTGTGCAGATAGATGGGGGAGGGGGGCACACCAGTCATTGAAAGCAGTGGGGCAGGCCAGCCAGAAGATTGTTTCATTAATCCAGATGTGAGATAATAAAAGCCAGTTGAGATGACAGAATCAGAAAGAAATGTGAGATTCATAGAGATTGGATTTCCAGTTTCAGAAAGGTGGTCATTCAGAATTCTGAAAGGATCTTGTATGTGTTACATTTAAGAGTATGACAAAGGGGATTGCTCTCCCAATTTTACATGAATATAGCCTGCATTAGTGGAGTATGATCTTTCTGCTTCTTCCGTGTTCTTTACCACTTTTTAAGAAGATTCCATAGTGCATAGGACTGGTTCTAATTAGTAAACATTTACCGAATACCATTTTTATAGCCATAGCATGTAGTCAGAAGTGATGAGATAAGAAGGAAATGCTCTCTTCCAATTATAAAAACCTGATATTGTGGTTTTATAAAATTGGCAAATCACAGTTCCTTTCTAAAAGAAGCTCATGTTTTTAATTTGGAGGTCAGAGAAAGGGAAGCATGAAACAAACAGCCAGAATTAAAAAATGACTTGAAAATGCCAGAGGAAATAAGAGTGAGGTGAGGTTTTATTGTAAGCCCTGGAAGGGAGTTCAGAAGAGATGTGATGTGATTGGGTTAGGCTGTTGTTGCTCCTGTCCCACCCTTTGTGACTGGTGTCCCAGGAGTCTTGCATATTGCTGAATAACCAATTATTAATGCGGTAGCTATGGCAGATTTGGAATTGTCACATTTACTTTATAAAGATAAATAACAAGTATCTACATCATATGTTTAAATGATTTCTTTATATGGGGGGGGAGAACCCAACATTTTCAAGATTGCTTGATTAAATCATTTATCATGTATAATATCAGAATGAAATTTTTTTCATTCCTACTCCCATATATTTATGGCATTGAATTTCTTTGTGTAGTTTGTACAGTGGTAGAAATGAATTCATTTGGAACCAGATGCTAGACCAGGGGTGGGGAACCTATGGCCTCGAGGCCACATGTGGCCTTCTAGGTCCTTGGGTGTGGTGTTTTGACTGAGTTCAGGTTTTACAGAACAAATCCTTTCATTAAGGGGATTTGTTCTGTGAAGTGCTCTAAACTTCAGAAGGGTCAAGGGAAACGAAAGCCAAAGGAACTTTCGTCTTTGGATTTGGCAGTTGTAAGGGAGTTAAGAAGTGAGAACCTTTGGCCTGGCACTCGAGACTTACCATAGCTGTGACTCGTTTTTCCAGCCTTATTTCAATAAACAATTCAATTCAAACATTTATTAAGAGCCCACCGCCTTTTAGGGTACCATGCTCAGGTTTGGAGACACTCTTCCCCTTTTGTGCGTCCTGTGACTACCAGTCTTTGGTTTTGTCTTTTTTGATTTTCGCGCATGTGTGCATATTGTCTCCACGGCTGGAATAGATTTTATCCTCCCCCCCCCATCCCTGCCTGTTTCCATCCTTCAAGGCCTGGCCCAGGTGACACTTACTCTGTTGTTTCCTTGATCCTGATGGTTGGAAGTAGTCCCTGCTTCTCTGAATCTCTCCTGCCCTGTTTGATGGCTATGCCTTCACCTTCCAAGTTATATTGATTTGTTTCTGTCTTCGCCTCCCACTAGACTTGGAGTTCGTTGAAGGGAGGCACTGCCGTTTTCCCTCCTGGTGTCTGTCTCCGGTGCTGCGCCTGGAGTAGGTGCTTAATCATTACTGGTTGACTTAAGTTGTTAAAAACCAGGTTTGACGTTTTTCATTTTCTCACCAGGTCTCTGCTTAGACAACACATTTTGTTACTCTGTCATCCTTTTAGTGGTTGGTAATGGTGGCTAGGAGGGATTTAATAAAGCTCTCTTCAGAGGTTCATTAAACTGTTAAAAGAGAGAGGGGTTCAAGGTAGCATGATTCTATTGATCAGATAATTAATTATTAGCCTGGTGTGCCTTCCTGCTTTTGATCATAACATTTGCTAGACTAAATAAGGTCAGAGCTTCTAGATTGCCTCGGCAGAATGGTATTGATTTTGGCGTGTTTGTTTCTGTGAGTTTTGTCCTGTAATGATCTGTCAGACCACTTAATAAAAACAGGCTTTGGGTTTTTGTTTTGTTGTTGTTGTTTTTTTTTTTTGAACCCACCTGTTTCCAGAGTCATCTTGTGGCTGAAGAAGCAAAAGGCCTCATGGGATCTTTCCACCTGCTTGCATCCCCCAAAATCTATGCCTCATTTATTTTATTTTATTTTTTTTAATGTTCCATAGTTCTCTCAGTCACCAAGGCTTATGACCCTAGGAATCATCTTTGGCTTTTCCCTTCCTCTTTCCCTCACCAGTAGCAGCCAGTTTTTGAGTCTTATCTTTTCTACTTCCCTAATATCTCTGTCATCTGCACCCCTCCCCTCCAGATCATCCTAATTCAGATTTTCCTTGCTTAGACTTAAGAGTAGTTACCTAAGTTATCTCCCTGTTTAGTGAGTTTTCCCCTCTCTAGCTTATTCTAAAAGTCACTGATGTATTTTTGGATTTCTATTCAGGAAGGCCTGAGTTCAGATCCCACCCCAGATACTTACTAGCTGTGTGACCCTGGTTGAATCACTTAACCTCCCCCAGCCTCGGTTTCCCCATCTGTAAAATGAAGATATTTACACCTAACTTGGAGGTTTATTGTGAAGATAAAAGCGATAAGATGTAAAGTGCTTTGTAAACCTTAAAGGGCTATATAAATATCAACTATAATAACAATAATTATGATTACTATTCCTAATTTACAGTTTTGATCATGCTTCTCGAGACCTCACTCAGTAATTTTCCTGGCTCTGTCTTGCCAGCCATTTCTCCTTGGTTTAGCATCCAAGGCCCTCTGCAGTCTGGCTTTAATTCATCTTTCCCATCTAAATTTGTACTTAGCTTTTTGTACTTTCTGTATTTTTAGATTATAGTACTCTGCCTCTTAAGATCTTTTCCACTCTTTTTTTTAAAGAGGCGAACAGGGGTAAGTGACTTACCCAAGGTCACACAACTAGTAAGTGTCTGAGTCCGGATTTGAACTCAGGTCCTACTGACTCCAGGGCCAGGGCTCTATCTACTGGGTCACCTAGCTGCTCCAGTCTCTTCTACTCTTACAGGGCAATTTCACATGCTACCTTCTCCAAGAAACCTTCCCAATCCTCCTTCCTTCTCTCCCCCTCTTTGCTCTCCTCCCCTCCTGGTTCCTGCATGGGCTTCTGCTTTCCTTCTGTGCTTCGTATCTTCTAATAGTTTTTATTAATATTTGCACTCTTACCTTATCTCTAGTTCTAGACTGTAAGCTCATTGAAGGTAAGATTTCTCTGGATTTCTAGCACCTAATATGGCACACTGCACAGAGAGGTTTTCTTGTGGTTGTTCTGGGGTCTCAGGGACTGGTGACCTGCCTCAGGACATGCCCTCGTTCTTGCGATTTGCCCAGTGTTTAGCCCTGTGGGATGCCTGACTTCTCCATAAAGGAAGTAAGCTCCCTCATTCTCCTATTTATTGACTCTACACTCATCCTCACCTGGGTTTTCTGAGCAAAGTTGCTAATTACAATAACAGTACTTTCGCTATTAGTCTAGGGTTTCTCTAAGAAGGGAGGAAAGTAAAAGCAGTTAGTTTTATTATGTCCTGTGAATCATGTATAGGACGGGTCATTTTCATTCACATGCAGAAAGTGATGATAAACATAAGAGAATCCTGGTGCACATCAACAGAATGATATAAACAGGATTTAGAAACTCAAGTTTAAAACTGCTGGAGCCTGGTAGTAAGCCTCATCAAGACGTATCATAGTTGGGCAGTTCTGCTAATGAGCCCTTTCACCTTCATGGAGCACAGTCAGATCCATTGCCTCCTGTATTGTAAGCATCGTCTTCTCTCTGTGATGCTGACTCTTGCCTTACTTTCTCCTGTTGCTGCAATGCTGTGTAGACATGGCAGCTGCTGCTTCCTTGGCCTCCCAGGACCCCTTGACCTTATGGAACTCACAAGGTTGCCTGGATTCCTCCATCTGAGGTTGCTGCTCAGTCATCTTGTCGGGGAAGAAAACACAGAAAAGACAGGTGGTCCCATCCCAGGCACAGGCTTGTCTAGGTAGGATGGTGCTCATGGCAGCCTGGAGTCTGGGAGGGATAAAGCTCCTGTCATTCTCCCACTCAATAGGGTTTTGAATCATTCTCATTCTTTGATGTAGGAAAGGAAAAAGAGTGTTGAGGACCAGGCCACTCCTTTAGTGCATCCCCAGAGTTTTAGCTCAGCAACCAATTTATATGTGGGGGAGGGGGCGAGACTCAACGTAGCAATGAGTATGCTTAGCTGGAAGCCGGCAGAGGATGTCTGTGGATGCTCAGGTTTTCACCAGGAGTGGCATAGTTACCAGGAGCATACTCCAGAACAAAATGTGAGGATAAGGGGAGAGAGAAGGAAGGTACTACTGTATCTGTTTGTTTGAATTGCTGTTGCTTTACAGCAGAATAGAAGCATTGAGTTGGATTCTGGGGCCCAAATAGCATCAGCTTGTGTGTTTAATGAGGAGGACCCTATAGAAAGAACATAGATGTTTAGAGCTGGAAGTTATCTTAGAGATCCCATCTCTTCTTACTTTGTAACTGAAGGAGTCAAGTCCCATCCAGGTGAAGGCAGTTTTCCCGTGTTCACACAGAAGCCCTGTTTCCTGACTCCCAGTGCAGTGGACCCTCTGTGTGTCACCCTGCTGAGGGAGGAAGGGAGGAGCCTGGATGGGGCCTGGGATTGCTCTATACATTCCTTTCCTACTAAGATTTTCTTTTAAAAGAAAAAAAAAGCAAAGAGAAGAAGGCAGGAAGTTCACATCGAAACTAATAAAAATGTCCAAAGAGAATGAAGAAATCATTTTGAGAACTTTGGTATGGAGGAAATAACCTGACATTAACTGTTTTAATTATAGTTGTTGCATTGGGCTTATCAGTGTGGGAAGAGGGAGAGTTTGAGCCCTACAGGGAAGTGGGATGTGGACAGTAAGCTGACCCTCTTCCTGAACTCGGGTCCTAGGGCCCTCAGCCTAGTGGCTGCTATGGACTTGGTAACAACTGTGTTGGGAAATAAGAACCAGGGTGGTGTAGCCCAAGTTCCCGCTATGGCTCTGCCACCAGCTTACTGTGTGACCTTCCTCTCTGGGTCTCAAGTTTTTCATCTGATAAAAATGACCATAATGTAGTATTACTGCGTCAGCACAGGTTACAGAGTGGGTGCTTAGCTTAGTGATTTGAGGATCCTGGGGGTAGTAATTTACATAACACAATTTACGTAGGTTTTCCTTCTGAGAAACATTGGTCAGCCCTTAACGTGTGAGAATGGGGAAGGCCAAGGAGTTAAGTGTCCTGAAGGCTCAGCCCCACAGTTGTCCCAGACAAGATTGGGGACATCTGGAAACAAGGTTCCTGATGCATGGTCCAAGGCCCATTGAATTGCATGAAACTGCTTCTTCCTGTTTTGGCTTTATGGAAATCTAGTGAAAACGAAACAAAACTGAAACAGGTTTGAGTGACCAGGGGCCTTCTGTTTATCTGCTGGCCTTAGAGCCAAGTACCCTTGGGTTCAGATCCTTCCTTTGACACGTAGTAGCTAAGTGATCTTAGGAAAGTCATTCTTTGCATCTGCCTCTTCATCTGTAAAATGGGTGTCATACCTGTGACATCTGCCTCTCAGAGTTGTTTTGAGGCTCGGATAAGATAATGTACATGACATGCTATGTAAACTTCAAAACACTGTATAATTGTTATTATCATTATTATTATTATTGTAGAGTCACAGAACTAGAAGGAAATTCCAGATTTCTTTGCCTTTCTTCAATGTGGCTATCCATTTAGGGCAGGGTTTTAACCTGGAGTATGTGAACTTTTATTTTTTGATATTTGGAGAACTCTTCTTAATATACTTTGTCTCCTTTGTAATCCTATATATTTTATTTTAAAATATTATTCTAAGGAAGAGTCCTTCGGCATCACTATTATGCCAAAGGGGTCCATGACACACACACACAAAAGATGAAGAGACTCTGATTTAGAGTATAGCACATTTTTTTTCTTTCTTGCTTGCTTTTTTTTTTTTGGGCAGTTGGGGTTAAGTGACTTGCCCAGGGTCACACAGCTAGTAAGTGTCAAGTGTTTGGTCTGAGGCTGGATTTGAACTCAGGTCCTCCTGACTTCAGGACCGGTGCTCTATCCACTGTGCCACTTAGCCGCCCCAGCACATTTCTTTTCATTTAAGAAAACAACTAAAAAAGAAACGCTCTAAAAACAAAAACATGTGAGGGAAAGTCCTCATGTATTTTGTAAGTTTTGCTTTTTCCATTGCTTCCAAGATGCTGGGTATGCAGGCATCACAGTAGAATGAAAAAAGCATTGGCTTGAGGAATCGGAGGATCTGGGTTCAAATCCTGTTTGTAACCATGGGCAAGTCACTAACATCAGGGGGCCTTGTTTTCTTCATGCATAAAATGAAGCAGTTGAAATAAGTACGATGATCTGTGAGGTTTCTTCCAGCTCTAGAGCTATGATCATGTGAATAATGGATGGATGGATGGATGGATGGATGGATGGATGGATGAGTGGATGGGTGGGTGAGTGGATGGATGAGTGGATGGATGGGTGAGTGGGTGGGTGGGTGAGTGGATGGATGAGTGGATGGATGGATGGGTGGGTGGATGGATAGATGAGTGGATGGATGAGTGGATGGGTGGATGGATGGATGGATGGATGAGTAGATGGATGGATAGATGAATGGATGAGTGGTTGGATTGTGCCAGCTTTCCTATCTTCTGCCCGAAGAGACCCACTCAGAAATCCTTAAGATGAGATGTGATTATTCACTT